AAAATATGAACCCCTTTACATCTCAAGTACTTTTTCAAAGGTAATTAAAACTTATATTTGTTAAAAATTGATGTAAAGAAAATGTGAAGTTTTGTTTTTTAATTAAATAAGCTTTTTAGTACGTTAATACTCAGTTAAAATAAATTTACATGAGGAGGTTAGTACATTAATATAGTTAATTCTTTATACCAAGTCATTACGAGTTGAATGTTCCCGAGTTTATGTTAATATTATATATCTTGTTAAATAAAACGTTGATAATTTATCATTATTTATAACTATTTATCTAAGTACTCACTACAGAATTTTGATTCCTGTGGCAATTAGGCAGACAGTTAGTCGGAATGGGCATGTAAGCTTCGTGATCCGAACCCTATGATTAGGAAATAATAAGCCAGCGAGTTTAGKACCAAGTGAGAGTACAAAGCATTAGTGAAATAAATATACATAATGATTGATAGATGTTAGTTATAGATGCATACCTCAGATATTTTATCGCAGTCTGTACCACATGCATCCTGTAAGTTACAGAAGAATAAACTGGTAATTAGAAAGTTGATAGTCTCAACGTGTACATTGGTTGGCATTCAGTGAAGAAATTAGTTTATAGATCAAACAAATTATTGAAAAATCTACTAGCATTAATTGAGTAAATAAAACATACCGGTGGTGATTCTATGTTTGATAAGTCTTGAGTTCTATAAATCCCTAAAGGAATCTCACAAGTAGTAGAACAAAGCTTTTGGTAAAGACGACCGTAAGTTCGTATCCACATATCTTCTTTTGTAATTTTCATCTATGCAAACATCGTCGATGGTTATATTATTGTTGTATACATGGTTCGTCAATGCCACATTATTATAAGTAACTTCAATTGGAATTAAAATATTATACAAGTACGAGTATACAACATACAAATCACATAATTTATGAATTAAATAAGTTATCAGATTTTGTGTTTTTTACATATATAATATTTCTAAATCGTAAATTGTTATAAATTGTTATGTTTATTTAATTCATTAATTTTTCGTATTTTAAATCAATAATTATTAAGGCTTTAGAATACTTATAAAAATTAAATTCAGAGCACTTTTTTATAATGCAATGGGTACTCACCGAAGTCAGAAAACCAGAACCAGGAGCCTGATCTACGCCCAACAGTAATCTTACAAAAGTGATGACATAATCTTTTACGAATGCTTGGTATAACAATGTATCTAACATGCTGGCACTGAATACGGAACCAGCCGCAAATGGCAGTCGGAACATGTACGAAATGTGTGATCCTCTTTCTTTTTCATGCTAAATTTGGAGAAAAAAAAACATCAATCAACAAATGTTGTTATACTATTATTACCTACAATAACTTCGAATATTATACTTAGTTATATGCATAACTATGTGAAACGTAAAAATAGAAACTATGCGTATTTATAAGTAAGTAAATATAAATTTAAAACATTTAAATTCGGAGCSTTCGAACTTAAATTTTTAGGCCAAATATATTATTACGTTAAATAKGTTATTATAGGGTAARTTACCTATATTTATAAAATGCTTATTGATTTAATAATTTTTGTTTCTTTAAATAAATAAAAAGACGTTTAAAGGCTTTAATCGACGGAGGTTCGTTCAGAATAATATTATTTTAAAATGCAATTTCTTACAATTATTGCTTTCAAATGTATTATTTTAATACTTGAACCGATTATTTGATCCGCCTTATATAATGTATTATAGTAATCATAGACATAAAATAAAACGTGTTTACCCTTTACAGAAAGTTGTGTGTGAAAATATTTAGACAAGCAAAAATGTTTAAGTGCTTAGTTCATGTAGACACATAATATTTATTATTAAAATAATTATGTTATAATCAGTCATATATTAATTCGGGTGAGTATAGTATTGTTCGCATAATAAACATAATATGTTRTTATATGAACTCGGACAATGCTCARTTGATAATGGTTAACATTTTAAATATTAATAACTAATGTTTGYTATAAATAATGTAATAAATACTAAAAATATTTGAATATTTTGATATAATTGATRTGTGGCCTCATTTTTAGTATTTGAAGTTTGTAATGTGTATCAATTGCATATTTACATCCCATGCYCTTTTTTACACTTATAATATATTATAGTATTATACGTATATGTATTGTCGACTTGTGACAAAGTGATCGGAATTTTATTGTTTTTAATTTAATCTAGACTCTGAAAAAATTAGGGTACTGGTTTTAAGAAAATCGTACTTACTTTTTCCATCTTTGATAAGTGCAACGCATAAGTGTCTTGTGCTCTAAATTGCATGAATCTCATGTTGGATGACTGTGATAACTCAGTTATACTACGAATGTTAGGAAAGAACCTATATTTTTTGAAAATAATGAAATTATATATATGTTAGATATATTTAGGTAAACCTATATTCCTCAAGATTGTGGCAAATTTATTTATTCAATAATAACAAAGTTTTTGATAGTAAATTTCTTAACTGGATATGTATAATATACAATATACATATATTATTGAACGATCAAAAACAATCTGATATAGATGGAACAAGTTTCTATAGTATTCCTAAGAAATTACTTTGAAATATTAATGTTTTCCAAAAGGGAAAATACTTACTTAAACATTGTTTGGACTGCTACAATGGTATTACAGTCTGCTAATGTTTCTTCTTCAGCGGAATTTGATAGTTCTTTATTTACAACTACTACGTTTTCTGCTAATAATATTCCAGCCCTCAAGAGATCATCCAAACTGAAAATTATATTATTGTAACTAGAAATAACTGGTATAAATATGCTGCAGAATAACACGTTAAATTATATGTAAACAGTACAAGTTAGTATAATTTAATTATAGACTGTTCTATGTTTCATCAATCTGAAACATTAATTCTCGCATTTTTTGAAAATGTCTGACATATTATAATAACTGTAGTTWAAAACGTATGTATACGTTTAACAACACTTCACAATATATGTATTTTTCTAAGCCTTTTAAATTGATTTTACCATTTTTATTAAATTATATAAAAAAATTACAAGTTGCTTCACTAAATTAAGTTAAACAAAGTTATGCGATGCTACGTGTTGCTTCATATTCAATCAAATAAATATGATATTACATGATTGATGGGCTATTTTTATGATTTTACGTTTACTTATGTTAACGGGTAGATAATAATAGTAATAACTTAAGCGAATATACAATGATAAATAATATTATTTCATTTATGGTATTTTGGTTCGATAAAAATTRGGAGGGTACTAAAATAATGTTAAATTGATAAATGTTTTCGATCAATATGAAAATACAAGAAACTTGTTCAGACTATATTTTATAAAATATCCATTTAATCCTCGAATCTATTAAATTTAAAAGCTTAAATTTTTTAGGGGTTTACATTCGTGATACTAATCACCAAATATTTGTGCTTGATTAAAAAAAAAGATTCTTCACCTCATGTTTGTCAAATATTGATAACGGTAGTTATTAGTATTTAGTATTTAAATTAAAAAATTATGATATAATGTCCTTGTATAAGTGGATATTATATTATTATAATCCCATATTTTGTAWTTAAATTTTGTGATAGTTATTTATTTGATTTAATATTTTTTCTTTCTTTTGAAAAATTATTGTCCGGTCTTGTCTTCAAATATCCTGTAATATCCATACCATATCTATCAATATTCGTCAATGTAATACATAAATTATATGTTTGAATAACACTTTTATACGATTTATTTTTATTGAATCATAGTTATTTTAAATTTAGCTACCTAAAGCATTCATAAACGTTTTAAGATACTTTTTTTTTTATCCTGTATAATACATCCAGGCACCTAATATATTATAACATAATATAGGTACTAGGTAGGTACCTATAAGCTATAATAGTATGTTTGTTTATCAATAATTCATCAAGCTGTCCGATTATTCGCGTATATTGAATATCCTGTCAGTATCAGACATGGCAAACATAATATATATTATAATAATAAGTTTTGTTGAAATCATTTTTTCCAGAACTAAAAAATGTATACATACATATTACTATATAATATTATAATAAATATTACACCATGTGTGTTTCTCATATATATATATTATATTACTTATATATTTTATTTATTTTCACGYGGTATATAATATTAGTTTATCTGATTTATGACACGATTTACAGTATAAGCAAAGAGGTCATGTACATTAATACACTACATATCAGGAATGTAAAATACGCTGCACTCAACTCTTTATTTTGCGACGCTTGGACATCAGAATTATTGGACAATTAAATGAAAATAGTAAATACACATAAAGAATGGAAAAAAAATTTACACTTTTAATTTGTGTCACAGCTGTGTTGGAAAAAGATAAATTTGGTATACATTTTAATAATGAATACTTTTTCAAGATTCAACGACAAATTTTTTTAAACATTTTTTCAAAAGGGTGTTTTTACGCAGYCSGCTTAGTATTTTATTTTATATTTTTRACTCAGCCGATACGCTTTACGTATGTTTGAATGTCCGCTTACATTCAAGTTTAAAATATTTATAAATATTTAAGACATTTTTTTTTTCATTCTATGCTAGTTATTGTTTAACAGTCTTACCAATCTATGGATCCCAACATCCAATAAACAAGTGGAAAGTAAGAAATTGCGTCTAGAAATGCAATATCTGGACGTCGTTCTAATAGTATGATGATCGGATTTAATGACGTTTTTGGATGAAAGTGTGCCCTCAGTGGTATGATAAAATTGTAAATTCCATTGGATGCGTAATCGGCAGCTAAAATTATGGTTTTATTTTGCCAATTGTAGTCATTGGCGTTTCGGTAAGCACAATGCTCACATACCTGTTATTATTAAAATTGTATTAAGTTTATTGATTTTCGTTCGATAATTATTGTGTATAGAGTATATATAATATAAGTGACTGGTAAACTAATTGTTGATATACCATCTTATAATTTTATGCAAGTTTTAAGTTCTTTCTTTTTATGATGTAGAATATAAAATTTCAAACCAAGAGATAAATAAATAAATTAATAAATAATTAAAATTATTATAGTACATAAAAGTATATTCCCAGTATTCAATTTTATTTTTAGACCTTGTTTTATGATTGGTAAAATAATTTAATAATAATATGTTTCAGTTTAAGAAATTKTATAATTATAATTCAGAGAATCGGAAACTAATTATTTAATAAAAATTAAGTTCACTGTTCACTGTTATATCTAATAAAATATTAGTTTCAGAATTTGCAGCTGACAAATTATCTTAATTTGATTTATGAAACTTGATGTATTAAGCATTGAAAATAATAATACATTTTTTTTATATCAGCATAGTGTAAGATAGTTCATATTTTATAAAAAAATTGCACAGAGCTTTAATAAAAATAAAGAGGGGGTAATATTTGATAATATTGTATTATCATTGCCATTAATTTTTATCATTTTGGACCTACTAAAATCACAACTGTTGTATTTTGGAATAACATAGTATGCTTAATATGTTTTAAACAAAATTTGATTTTTAATAAAACTTTATAATTACTAGGCTAGTGTGATAATATACTGAGGCATAATACTTTACTTATATGAAAAATCTWAACTTATACATTAAATAACAAAATGGCAGACATAGGTAATGTGTCATAGAAAAATAATATTTACCTGAGCGAGCTGTAGACAACACAGTGGTTTTTTTTCTTTTAATAAATAACACAATGTGGGACTGACACCTATGTACGGTGACACTGGTGGGAATCCTTTGACTATCCTATATAAGCAAAAAAAAAAAAAATTAAAATAGTAAAAATTAAAAATTAGATTAAAAAAAGTTTAACTAAATATAACACGTTTTACATTTATGATGCTTTGGGAAGGTTGTYTAAGTTTATAGTTAACAGAATAGCATTACGTTGCATAAACACTTGCCTGGTCCACTCAGCATGCCAAACAGGCTGTGTGTAAACGTCTTCCTCACCATCCGCTGTAACGCGGAATCTGAGTTTTTAATAAACATGCGAAAAAAAAAACAATGTACAAACGAAATCGACATGCAAAATATTACTAAGTCAAAGATTTTATCTGACTAAAATATATTATAAAAAAATGATGCAGGATATTAGTTTTTTTTTTTAAATATTCCTTTTGAACTTTATAAAGGTAGTACCAACTTATGTATCTACCGACATATTTATTTTTTTAAGTGTTAATGTCACACAAATATGTTGCGAGTACTTGGAGCTTGACTACATTTCATAAGCGATAAAAAGTATACTAAAAAATTAAATAAGTTCAAAAAAGCTTTGATTAACATTTTTCAATCAAATATGGGAATAAGTCATGTAGTATTATATTTAATAAAAATAAAATGTTKAAATCATACCATTACGTTTAATTAAGTTATGTTGTTTCTTTGGTATATTTAATTTATTTTTGCGACGTGTTTATATAGAGAAAAAGAGTAATCATTATTAAAGAATTGTTGTCGTATGTCTTTAGTATGTTAAGGTTAATCTTATACTTAAATAATAAAATTGTCATTTACAAACGTCCGACATTTATGAGTAAYATTATAATAGGTATAGGAAAATATAGTATATKTTATTATATTATACTGTAAAAAACCTATAATAGAATATAATAATTTTCAAATTAGTGCATAATGCATCCACTTATACATATAACACATATATATGTGTTATACGTCCCACCATACAAATTCTATTGCGTAGATGTTTGTTATTGGTATATTATGAAATAATTAATTMAAAAAAAATGTGTTTAAAAAAATGACCACTTTATATTATAGACTAAAAAAATTGTTGTTGAATATCCTATGTYATATAATATTATTTAAAAAACGTGGTGTGTACTATTTCACAATATCTATGTATAAGATTATTGTGTTACTGTCAAAGTGTCAAAGTTGATATTTTTGTCAAAAATTAAATTTAGTAAACATTTTTAATAAAGACTGGCATAGCAATTAGGCAATGTTGAAAATATATGTAAAACTAATAAATATTAACGCCTKTTATGCTTTGTATATTATGTTACACCAACGGATAATAACTAGTTTTTGTCGTTATTTTAGTATATTTCCATACGATGTTTTAAATGTTACCTTTTTTTCTTAGTTATTTTTGCGTTTTTATTCTTAAGTTAAGTAATGTTTAAAAAAATTTCAAACGAATGCTCTTTTTCTTTAATATATTATGATAACACTTATTTTTAGTAAAAATGTATGATAAGAATAATCTAAAAGCAGGGCAAATTTAGTACATCATATACATTATTATTTCGCTTTTAAGAACTTTAATTTATGTTATATATGATAGTATAAGTTTGATAATATGTTTGGCATAAATTTACAAATTTGCATACAAACATTTTTCAAAATTTTAGAAATATCCATATCTGTATACTGCCAAGAAATTTTATGTAGTGATTCAAATTAATAATACCATGTACAATTTTATGTATRTTTAAATTTGTAAGTAACTTATGGGTTTTTCCTTTTTTTTTGCTTCAAAGTATCTATTTTAATAACCAGACATAACCGTCTCTTTTATTCAAACCTATCTTGACCTACTAGCCTCATGGTACACAGAATGGGGCCTGAAATTAAACCTACCGAAATCACTCCACTCTACCTTCACACTACGCCCCAGAGACTGTCCACCACAATTCCTCTATAATCAACCTTTATCCTACTCTCAAAACGTCAAATATCCTAACCCTAGACTGCTGGCTCACATGGACTCCTCACATACATTCCAAACGTTTAAAGCTGAATGATCGTAGCCGCCACCTGCGACACCTACTGACCTTTRAATACACGCAACTRAACAACAAGTTCCTTATAAACAAAATGCTACTAAAACYATTATGGGTCTATGCCATAGACTCTATGGKATACAGCTCTGGGGGTCAGCAAAACATACTAACATCAAAAGAATGCAAACCTGTCAATCCAAAACTCTAAGACAAATAACTAAAGCACATTATTACGTTTYCAATCACACATTCCATCACGACCTCTCCACACTCTTTATTGTAGACGTGATTATAACACACTAAAAAGATTCCACAACCACCTCTTAAACCACTGAAACTCATTCATGCATGATGTCTCTTCTTTGACTATTCCTGGAAACCCTCCTAAACGGTTAAAGTACTAGTGGACAGTGGTTTAGAAACCTACTGACAAACTAATTCAATCTTAATATTTATGTTTTTTTTTTATATTGTAGTTCCTCTACTGGGCGGCTTCTACGCTCTGTTATATCTATCTATTTTTATTTTTTTTACTATCTATTATCATAGTTGTTCTTATTGTTCTTTTTTGAAACAGATTGAATAAAAAAAAAAGAAAGTATTTTAAAATATTTGTTTTACAAGTATAATAAGAAACATATAAATATTTTCTTCTAGATTTTTTCAACCCCTATATTTTTTATACACTGGGGACACTTTATTTTTTCAGCTGAAAAAAATAAAGATAAGGAATTTTTACTATATTATTTCAATGGGATCATCAAACTTTATTTACCTTATACAAGGATTTATTAAACGTATTTACTGAGATAACGTTTACATTTTCTACTAAATTATAAACTTCTATACTAAACTACTTTTGAAATTTTATTTTTGATTGTGTGAATCAGCTTGTTATGTTACAATTTTTCGAACCAATCAAAACTACAAATAAAAAAATATTCAATATAACGATTATATGTTATAGTAACAATTTCAAGACTTTGATCAATATCTGGTCAGTTATATTATTCAAATCAGTAATCACCCTCAAGCAAGGATACAGCCCATACTAACAATCACACAAAATCAAAATGCATGAAAATGATATAATATATCATACATTTTCAATGTACATATGATTTTATTTTGTATATCCTTACGCTATTTTTTCACTCGGTGATCTCCACGGGACTTCGTCTTCAAGCTCATCTTCGCTTTCGTCTCCATCTTCTTCTGGAGGAGGTACAGATATGTTTAATGATGAACCCGTTATATTTTCAGCAACTGGTAATATACTTGGACGGCGACTACCTAAACACAAAGTAGTTTGATTTTTTCCTCTATAAATTTAGCTAATCGGCATCACCTCTTCTTTGACCTAGTACTTCAGGACTCAATAAATTCGGGTTCATATCCATTGGCTTTGGAATATTCAAATGATTACCTACGATTGTCGGTTCTTCTGTTTGTTTGTTTTGGAACGTATAACTTTCTCTAATAGTTTTTTGAACTTCAGTGGGCTTATCTGGAGGTGCAATATATTTTGAATTATGATATTATATTTTATGGATTGTACGTAAACTAKCACTGGTAAGATGTAAATAATATCAACTCACCATTATTTAACATAYTATCAAGATGTTTAGAAGGCGCAGAACCATTATTTGAAACCACAAACGATGAATTTTCTTCCTTATTAACGCTAATGTAATAACATATATCGGATTTCTTCATTATGTGCCTAGGCCCAGGATTTAAAAGTATTGTATCTTCATAAAATTCTGGTAAATCGGCCGGCCGTACGCCCACTAATGATACACCAAACCTAAGATTGAAGTTTGTTCATTTTAATTTCTGTTTAAAATATTTAAATCACATTTAATGTTAACTGTGGTAATTTACTTTCGATGTGAATGAAAACTTGCATATGTAAAACTTTTGCCTTCGTATTCACCAAAAAATCTACTATCTCCTAAAAGTATGTGGTAGATTTCATTTCCTGAACATCTACCATACAGCCTATGCCATTCCTCAGGCGAAGTCTGGCCTTCCCTGCACACAAGTTATACAAATAMTACTTAGCAGTTARMACGACTAATAGTGAAACCAATATTGGTTACCCGCCGGAAATAGCATTGGATTACTAAAAATAATTTTTTCTATTGTAAAAATAATACTTACTGTCCTCTACTTGTATGTAGTAGAAGTGTTACTAGTGTTGATGCTCCAGGGCATGTGCAGTTATTAGCAAGAAGAGCATATTTAAGCTCGTCTTCGCATACAACAAACTCCGCAAATTTCACRTGTAATTTATTTTCTGGTCGAAATATTTGAACATATTGGGGAACAGTTGGAGCATAGTCTTTGACCGCCCACGAACGTAGKATTGTGTGTTCGTCCTTTTAATAAATATCACGAGTTATTGTATTTTTAATAAATAAATAAAATAATATTTACTGCAGCAGTTTTGTCAGCATAATTTCTAGCAGCCAAAACGAAACAAGCTTTAGCGTCACTCATTCTAGCTCTGGACAGATCTCCATCTTTCAAACACGACCCTTGAATATAAATTACTCTTTGTGCCCAAATMGGTACTTGGAGAATCATTCTCATTGTAGTGTCAAGTTCCATTGGCGATAACAAGACCACAAAATAGTCCTGATAATAATAATTATAATWATWAAATTTATATTAAATAACTAATATAAAATGTTACAATACAATTAGTCACTAAAATTTTTTTCACCATTTTTTTTGTTTAGACACAGACCTTATAGGATTCCCTATTTAATTACTTGCTACGATTGTAAGACCTAATACTTACAGGATTAAAATCTATGAAACCATTGCTTGTTACACAAATTTGTACATATATATTTAGTTTTTACGTTGAATAAGGTAACTAGATACATTTTATTTTTTAAATTTAAACCACGTTTTTTTTCTTCAAATATCAAAGTAATAGTGCTTTTAATTAATTTTTGTCAGCTAACTTTCATTCRTAAAATTTTATCGTACCTAGTTAATATTGTTAATATTTAATTTAAACTAGATCAACAAACCAAAATGTATTTAATTTTGTAGTGSATACATTGGACTAAACATTAATCATAGAATACATTTGCAACGTTCACAAATGTTCCATAAATATGCAATAGTGCATGTTATTGAATTTGATGAAATTAATATTATGCTGAAAAAATTATTTTTGGCTAAACTAATTCTGATTGTATTTTAACGCCAATCATTTAAATCTTAAAATAAATAATCAAGGAAGCGTAAATAGATATTATTAGAAGGTACTTGCATTATGATTTATATAAAAATGTAATAATATGTATCGTTCTATTATATGCATAAATGTAAAAAAAAAAAAATCATAGCTCTACTAATTAATCTCTGTAAATAATGCGCATTTTTAAATCGAATTTATATAAATATATCCGGAAGCTAGCAACTGCGGCGGTACACACGCTCAGTGAGTTTCCTCAGATTGAGCGTACGACCGTGCCTCACCAAGCCACACAAATCATTTAGTTTTAGCTTTAATTGGACAGTAATTACTGTTCATAGGAAAATGTATTAAAATGTATAATTATTTAGAATTTTATTTAATTTAACTTTCACTGTGGTAGTAGGTATTACTTCTCATTATAATTTAGTAGTTCAACAAATTAAATTTCCTACTTTAAAGCTTAAAACTTTAGAAATTTAGTTAATATATAGGTATAATGCTATTATAAAATACATACAAACTAGTTGTTTTTATGGATTTTTAATTAAAACTAGAGCTGATTAGTATTATGACTATACACCAACTTGAAGTAATGGATGTGCGTAAAATTCATTAAGAAAATCCATAATTGTGTCAGCTTGAAGAGTTGTACTACAGACGACTACATGTTTTTCAGAATGCGCTCTATGAGATGAATATGAACCACCGAGTTTCTGTCTTTCCATCCATGTGAACGCTAACTGTTCGAACTGTTATTTAAAAAAATAAACCCAATATATAATATTAATTATAAATACATTTATTGGAACATTAATGCCAAGCTGCATAAATAATTACTAGCCACTAAATCGTGTTTAAGGATCTATCAGCTGTTGATTCGTTAATATTTAGTGATTGTTCATGCAACTCGACATAAAAGTGGAATTGACAGGATGTGATAAAATTTTACTTGTGTTGGAAGAACAATAAGTGCTATGCATATCATAACAACCATATAGAGTTGGGAAGGCCAAATGTCTGGCACGAAGTCACCGTATCCGACCGTAGAAAATGTGACCACCACATAATAAGTAGCCTGGAAGAGGCTCAGATGTCGATGTCCAGCTCTTTGGAAATGTTGTATACCACATACACTGTACATAATCGACATAATCATAAGTGACTGTTYTCTGGTCTGTAATTATAACTCGAAACTCACCTAGTAAATACTAAACAGAGAAGCGTGGCTGAAAGTATCATTAACTGCTGGGACAGTGCTGATTGAGATTTTTGCATAGCACGATGAAGATCGTTCTGAAACATAATTTGTAAAACCAAAATGCTAAGAACATAATTAAGAGGACACTACACACATATTTGTTGTCTCCATCTTACAAGTGCGTAATATAACAAATTTACACTTAGCAGATCAATTTAATTCCGTTAGTTTAAAAATTAGAGTAAATTTACCTATTATGAAACTTGATGGGAAGAACATTATCTGTGTTTGTATGTGGGTTTTTTTACAATGACTTAGTTTTTAATTGAGTTGTGAGCATTTTTAATTTACGTTTTTTATATACCTACGTATAACTTGCTACAAAATTGAACTATCTTAAAAAAAAACCCCTTTAAAAAAAATATTATAAAAAGTCTATGAGGAGTCCTCTATAATAATGTTACCATTCATTTTTATAAGAGGTCAACCCACTCTAAATTTTAAACAAACTGAGCTAAACTTGATCTGCTGATCGTAAATTTGGTATGTTATGCAATTATAACATGGAGAAAAAAATGGTTATGTAGCATCCTCTTAACGATAAATTTTAATATTCACTAACAAACATATTTTCTAAAGATTTTTTTGCCAACCAACAGTTTAGAAACACTGGTATGAAAAGATTGATCAATGTTGGTTGGAAAATCTGTAACATAACATAACAGTAGCGTTATTGATTGATCTGTCGTTACATAAATAAATAATAAATACTGACTGTGAAAATAAAGGGTACAGTTGTGATCAACTCTAACAGGAAGTGGAATGATAATAGTTGTTGCATTACATTTCCCTGAAATGAAAAAAAAACATTTATGAATTTAAAGTTAGTACGCATTTTAATAAATTTTAATAAAGTATTTGGTATTGTTTTTAATTAAAAGCATTCGGGCTTGTAATAAATATAATAATACGTTTTCATGTTCAATACATATTATTTGACTTATAATATGAGAAAATCGTACATCATTGAATATCAGTCTCTACTGCCTGAGTATATTTATTTTGTAGTTAAATGTGTAAAAGTAAAAATATCAAGTTTTAGTCATTTTTATATGTATACTAAAATAAAAGGCATATTTTAATCGCACCTTTTTATTTGACTAGCTAGTTATTATTCCATCAACGTTTGAATATTGTCTTCATAGTAACAAAAATAATCAATATCGATKTGTTATGAACCAAAAATATAGGTCAAGACTTTGTTCTATAAATACTGATTATTTAAATAAATTACTATCATAAATTATTTATTATGATATCACTTTTTTTTGCATGTGTACACTGTAGGCACACCCGTAAGTACCAAATTAATTTATTCTCTATACTATAGGCAAGTCAATGTGAAATATTAACGGCTGATACTCAATTCACACATAAGTACCTATAACCTACTCTGCACGCACCATAGTCGAGTTACGCAAATTGCCGTTAATAGTAGTCTACTACGAACGACCGTCTCGGGTCTTCAAGACCATCTGAATAATACGTATGACGCCTGGCTGGCATTCTAAATGAGTAGAATCAAGCCACTTTTCGCGGATTACCTGCCACTTTCTTACTCTACCCTTCTGCATTTTCCGTCTTTTTTTTTTGTTTTAAACATAAAAATGCTCTCTGTTGAGAATATTTAATAGTATTTTCGTTTGAAAAATATTAACGGATCATTGTTTGAATTTTGATAGAAACCGATTTACGAAAGAGAGCGTTTTCATACTTGCTCAAGTATATAGGTATAATATGCAATGTATAAGTTAAATATAGTTGAAAAGAAATATAATAATATAAGAAACAAAATATTATTATTTTTAATTAACYCTACCTACCTATTCAAAGGAGATAGAGTAATGAAGATATGTTTGAAGTAGRTAAATAATTCGAGTAATACGAATTAATATTGTTATACATTTCTTTTTCTTTATMGCAATCTTATAGACTTACAAGATTATATCTTTCTGTGTGCTTAGCGTGTTGCACTCATTTTCAAAGTCAATCTTTGCAATTTAAATTCTTTTGAAGAAATTAAAGTTTTTGAAACTTTTATGTTTAAGTAATTTTCCAAGTATTCAACTTACTATATTTATAAACTAGCGTTTTTTTTTTTTTAAATCCAAAGCTTAAGAACAATAATTTTTATACTTAAATTTATAATTTTTTGATTATTCAATGGTAATTTTTCACGATGATACTTAACTTGTGAAATTGAAAATTCTGATTTATGTAAATATGAAAGCTTAGAAGAAAGCAACAAAAGGATATTATGAACGTTTAGTCTTATAGCGTTATAGCTWTTTATAGRTAACTGCTGAATTATATACATATTGTTGAAAATCTGCATGAAATTAATTTATTTTAGATAAAAAATATACAATTATATATTAAATCTTTTAAATAACAACAATAAATTATTCAATTTTGAATGTTAAGCTAATTTACATGACGTGTATATTTCCAAAGACTCATAACACTTAAAACAATATTGTTCCAGTTGAAAAATATAGAGTAGGGTTTACTGTAGAGGTTAAATGTCAACATATACAGTTAACAGAATACAATATGTAAATAAAATAATAGCTTCTTCATAACGGAAGAAGAAAAACATTAATATTAATAATATTTTGTTTTTGATACACCACATATTATATAACTCAAMTATATCATTCGAAGACATTTTAAGAATAAAATACTACAAAAGAAACACGCTCCACAAAAAATATATGATTTACACTCATAAATAGACATAAATTTAAATTTGTGTTTATTGTGTAGATCTTCAGTTCAACATTCTAAATTTGATTAATTGTAGTGAAAAATTAATCAAGAACTTTTATTTTCATCAAATACAGAAAAAATATTGTAAAATATATACATACACTATACAAAGCACACATAAACAAACTTTGTATWTTTCATATAAACATTAGAGTTAAAAGACACATATCAAAAAACTGTTTTAATATTGAGGACGTAAAGATATAACATATTTTACTACTTTTTAATGTAATAAATGTAATATTGTATTGTATCTTGCTTGTATGATAATAAAATAAGCATTTTTATATTATTTCATTGAAGAAATTAGATACTAAACTACTTTTTTAATATGTCAGATAAATGACAATAAATAAAAAGTCTCATACAATCATAAAATATTTATTTTTAGRGTAGTAGAGTAAGCAGTGTTGTTACTAGTCTTACATTGAAGTAAAGCCAGTAACCTCCTATTATTTTAAACTTGAAAGTAATTTAAAATTACTGCCTTTAAAACAGATTTTAATTGAAGCTCACTTAATTAAAATTAATTAAGTTAATTGCCATATACAAGTACGATTAAAATCAGAGTTTAAAGCAGAATTTTTTTACAATGCCATAATAAACCATCGAATAATCATAATAAAATTATAATACGTACAACTATACTATTAAACGTTGAGGTCAATGAAGCAACAGCTGAAGTCGATCCCAAAGGTAGATAAATTATTATTTTTATGAATACGATTGTATGGCGTATTGTGTAGACAGGATAAATACATTATTGTGACGTGACCATAGACAAAATTAAGAAATTTAATTTTAGTAATTTTATAAGCTTTTTTGAAATTTCATCCACATTTAGTTTTAACAAATTATMGAGAAAAAAAGCTAGTTGTATCTTAATTTATAGGTACTCAAATAAATCATTATAAGATAAACATTACAATTAAATAAAAATGTCAATATAATAACTTAAATTTATGTTAATATATGTTATGGTGTGTACAAAAACTTGACTAATCACACTGCAAATTATTGAAAAAAATATTTAATAATTTCTATATATTTTTCAATGACTCATTGTAATTTATTGAATGCACAATGCTGATAATATCCACGTCGAATAGTATATTAACGAATACATTGAACGGATGTACCTATTGATAATGATGCTAATAGCTAATGATAACTAGTAAGTACACAAAATATTTATGGTTATWTTTTGAAAACAGAATGAAATTGCAAATAAATTGTTCGCAAAAAATAATATTTAATATGTAACTCCCTAACCATATTAATGTATATAGCCTGAATACAATCCAAAATTATTTCATGCCTATTTTCATACGACCAAAATAATTTGTTCATGCGTCGGTTGAAACTAATCAATTTATATTTTCATCACGGGAGATTATCTAAAATATGCATTTCTACCATCGAGTATTGATCCAATTGTACACCTACAGTTTAATGTTGTGTATACGACGTACCTGTTTAAACTTGTAGTTTAACAGTATAATTGAATCTCAAACAGTAGAAAAGTATCAAACAACTATATGCATTTGAAGTGGCCGCGTGCTGATGACTCCGGAGTATTGATTCTCCCATAGTGCATTTCATAAATATAAAACCATGTTTACTTATACATGAAATGCCGAAAATGATRCAGTGTTAGCATTGGTATTCATTTTTAATGGAAAATTTCGTTTTAGTTTTGTTTTTAAGCAGTGTATAGATTCTGAGTACAGAGAGAAAGGAATTTATTGGTTTTTCTATATAGCATGTTGATTTTTATTTATTATTATTGACACTTTTTTTTTGGAACTGTAGAACTTTGCCAAGAAAATTTCAAGTAATTATTTTACCGGTATAAAATATAGTCTAGTAGTTATTCGAAATAAATAATAATTGTTCTATTTAATTTTTAATTTTTGGATGTGTTGAAATTAACATAGATTTACATAACTCCAAAAATGGGGAGTTTATATTTGAATATATATATATATATGTGTTTCCTGATTTATAATAATATTATGTAATATCTACAATATGCTTTGTGTAAAACAAGATTTTGTTGACACCATTAATCATAATAATTTTTCAATGAATATTATTGTGCGGGGGTAAATAAATGGAAACAAAAGTTCTCACTTGTACTTTTACAATGTTATTATAAAACACTGATTTTTAAACTAATACATTTGCCATTCCTACTTTTTTTTCATAAATCAATAATTGTGTTTATGGTTTTGGTGTGGTTCTGAGGTGGCTTATATGTGTGYTAGTAATTTAGTATGCGCATAAAATAAGTTGGTTATCATTATTAGTCCATCGAATTGTATTAAGAAAAATAAATCAAACTTAATTGTAAAACAGTCTATAAATATAATCAGTAATATAATTTCATTAAAATAAGTCAATAAATTATACATGTTAATCGTTAAAATGTAACGATTGTAMCGACTCGAAAGTTAAGGTATAGCTGTATAATCATATTCTAGTGGTTTTAACTGTTTATTATGACTAGRCTTATAGAAATATTTATAAATAGTTTCAAAAATTTACTTTCTTGAATTACAATTCAAGAAAGTCTTAAATATAAGTAAATATTTAGTAATGGATATAATTTTTCTTTTGAAAACAATTTGTTTATAGTATAGAGTTAAATTCTGATAAATAAAATATTATCCACTTTTTTGAATGACAAAATACATAATTTAATATTCCGAATCAGAATATTTTACTATGTGTTTCGATGCATAAAAATTGGATTTAGGACCAGTAGTTTATGAGATAACTTTATAAGTATTTAAAATTCGGATGAGTGGAATGGAGTGTTACGTGGTTACACGGTAAAATGTTGGTCCATTACTCCGCTTTTCTGAACTTTAAATACCTACTTAGAAACTATTACTGATCCTAAATTTGAATTTTTATTTATCAAAATAAATATTCTGCTTTTAAAGATAAATTAAAATTGTATGTTATTATWAAAAAAAATTTAAAAATTTCAAGGATTAAAAACACAAATTTGTTTTGTAATGACTTGAAACCATTTATAAAAATATTTTCAAAAGCATTAATACTTTTATTTGAATAATGAATATCCTACATTAAATGATTCATCCGGTATAAGAAATACGTTATACGTAATATTATAATACGTATTATAATACGGATTATGGTAATTAGTTTTTTGATCCAAGTTGTTTTTAATTCAGTGATACGAGCGAAGTAGATACTTACGTRATTTAATACCAGAATTACTGTCTGATCGGTAGTGAGAACCAAAATATATTTGATATAATATGTATACCAAACAAGTATTTTACATAGTCATTTTTAGCATATTATAAACTACCTAGGAGTTAATGTGATTCCTGYAAAATAAGATGATTGATGCGGTATAGTAAGATATATTTTGTTATTTTTAGTGATCGTCACTAGAACATTTGTATTTTTTTCAGAAAGTAAACAGATGAAACCTGAATCAAGATGAATTTTTTACGATGATGGTATGGATTTCAAATTCAAAAATGTTTAATGCATGTTTGTGCACATTTTGGTTTTTATTTCTTAAAATGTAGGCTCATTGTATTTGTGTGAGTATGTGTGTGCGTCTCTCTCTATATATATATATAAATAAACTGCATATTTAAACTTAAGGTAAAATAAGATAGAAAAAGTTTACTTGGAGAAGAGAACTTCAAAAATATATACAATTTCTTCACAAACATAGGTTTAGCAAAATTAATGTAATAAAAAAAATTGTACATTATATATTTTATATTCCCCTTTCTATGACTAACATAATGTCTYCTCATAAAATTATTACCTTATAATTATCTTAGGCTAATGACTTGTGATGTTGAAGCCTTTGACCCAATAAAAAAAAAAGAAAAAAAGTTTACTGAAATAATAAGTACGATTGTTTTTATTGCATATAGTTATAATAAATTAATTTTAGAATAAAATTAAAAAACTGAAATTTTCATTTTTGACGTGATATAAATAAAGTTGCGAAGTTTCGAAAAAAATTATCCATGTAAAATATATTTKTTCTGTTGTAACGTATGTTACATCATTATCTATGTGTATTTTATAAACATCATAATATTATGCACAAGAAGTATATTATGCGCTGACTATAATATATTAAGCTTCTCTGGTTTAGGTGCCACTTACATATTTTATTACTGTAAGGCTCCATCCAATATATATATTATGTAAGAGAAAGACAATTCTCCGCGATTACCACCACACTCGCCTGAAGTCCGTACAATCCCATATTTTTGGTAATTTAGTTCGTAAATCGTAAGTAAGGAAATATTTGTTTGTATTAATAATAATTTAGATCAATCGTTATTTATTTGTAATATTAARATCCTAATACCATTCATGCTCCCGAGCTACGGTGAAAATATATTCAAAAGAACTAATTTCTTCCTTGAATATCTTATATTTAACGGGTCATCCCCGACCRCGTTAAAACCGTTTTCTTCACAAAAATTATACTTACTAACAGCTTTTTTTCGATTCGTGATAATTATAAGTGGTGCGTACCTACATAATTGCCCTAACCCTACTTGTTGCATTTCAGTTAATTCTTCTTATTATACATTCCACGGGGAACATTAAATTATAGCACGGTCGTACTCGTACAGATAACGGCGATATACTTGATCTACGGTACCGTCGTCATCAAAATTGCGCGTTTCAAAGAAACCAAGCTAGCTGTTTGCGGTACCATTCACACGCCAGTAGGATAATATGTAGGTACTGGAGCAGAYGAGGACTTGACGAGTGTRTTATTATCATTACTGTAATAGACGTGAATTAAATTTATCCGGAAATTAACCTTACGCGTGGATCAATGAGAAATTAATTACTACCAGAACAGTACAAACGACGTGGCGGCGGCTGTTCGGATGAAAAAAATTGTTTTTACCGATTTTCTAATAATTTGATTCCGCATGGTTGATGTTATTATTGTAATATAATATTGTGGGTTGGTGCTCGATTCATCGTTGGTACTTGCAGGTTATCGCCGTCGTTTGAAAATTACGCGCTGTTTCGTGTGACCTGCAATCTCGTTTTTCTTTCGGTGTTTTTTTTCTTCTCYATTCTCTATGGCATTACACTAAGCCTGGTCCTGCACTACGATATTGTTCTCGTTCCATCTAACTGGGCTTTAATGACGAGGTTTGTGAACAACGTCATGAAACCGAAAACGTTAGAATTTACAGAACGAAACACGACTATTTAGTGCCAGCTGTGATCGTCGTCTTAGAGTCTAACACAGGTTCAAAAGACACAAATATAGCCACCACATATTCAAATTATAGCCATCATTGATAAAATAATAACTTATTTTTCACATCGATTGACAAAATGTTCTGGCGTATGGTGCAGATTAATATTAGGTACTATTAGTATTTGTACCTACCTACATTAGTTTTGATTCGTCAATATTATCAGAAATTAACTTGATGAATATTATACGAACTCAGTTGTCATTAAATCATCTGTACGTCAAAATAATTTTCTTTTAAATATAAATGTCATGGAAAAATGAATCGCAAACTAATAAATAACCAAAATAATATATTTTTACGAATTYAYGAAGAACTAAATTTGTGTCTGAGAGGAGTCAATTTAGAATAAACAAAAGTGGTTCTTTTAAGCTAAGTTTTATCAAAAGTTTTTATAAAAGGTTTGTATACACTTATAAGCAATCTA